GGGGGGCGGCCCCGCCCGGGCGCGGGGCGGGCGGGCGTGAGGCAGGCGGGCGAAGTTTCTCTGGCGGGGAGGGAAGGACGCGGCCCCGCGGCGGCAGCCCGGCTTTGGCCATGAAGAGGAAACAGAAGAGATTTCTGCAAATGACGCTGCTCTTCACCGCGGCGCTGATTTTCCTGCCCGACATCGGCCTCTGGTCTCTCTATAGAGAGAAACACCTGGTGAAGCCGGCCGAGCCCGCCGAGCCTCAGGTAGCCGGGATGAGCTGGCCGGGGCTGTGAAAGTTGCGGGCACGAGCGTGGGGTGCCGGGTGGGCCGGGCCGGGAGCATGCGGGCTGCGGGGAGTTCAGCGCTGTGCTGAAGGCAGCAGGTTGTGCAGAGAGGAGCGGAGTTCTGCCCCCAACTTTGGTTTGTCTGGCGGTGTGTGGCTGGATGCTCATCATCCCTCTCGCCAACTCACCGCTCTCCTTTCCACTGAAAACTCAAAGGTGTGTTCGACAGCCTTTTTTTTTTTTTTTTTTTACTTATTTATTTATTTTTTAACTTTCAATCTTTTGGACATTACCAGTGTGACCCGTTACAAGTGCTCTGCATGTAACTTCTGGTCAGATTGATGCCACATCGGGCTTCTAAATATTTCCAGTTTATAACAGCCTCTTTCACCCTTATTAATAACGGTAGTTGACATAAAATGTTGGTTGCTTTCTGTCTTGTTTTTTCTTTTTTTGTTATTGTTGTTTTTTCCCCTGAAGTTGTTCTTTCTCTCGTTGGGTTTCTGTACGGCTCGTAAATCACAGTGAGACCTGCATCGAGGGAAGTTTTGTTTGAGGGAGTTGTAACATCATAGTGCTTTAAAAACCCTGCCTGCAGTTTACTAAAGCTTGTGTGTGTTCTGCTCAACACTGCTGCACTTCGGCACCAGCACTGTAATTGTGATTTAAATACAATATAAATGTTTTATAGGTCATTAGTAAAAAATTACGAAGTTGCTTAATCTTCTAGTCACATCGCCTTCATGGTGGAGTGCAGTAAGCAGCACCATGTGTCACTTCGGTGCGTTAGTGGTCTTAATGTCAGGGGTCAATACCTGAGTGTATAGCACATTCTCCACATGCTGACTGTTTAAGGCACTTGCTTCATCTGAACAGCAACATGCTTTATTTTTTTGTTTATGTAAGCTGCTAGAAGTTACTCCTCTGAGGTGTCATCAGTTTAGTAATGAAATGTGCTGAATGGAGGATACCCTAATTACGACAGGAAGATGTGAAGGGTAGCTTCCCAATTTACTTTGTCCTTCTGAGGGTTTTAATATGCAGTGGATGTCAGGTGCTAGACTTTAGTTGGAAATCATTTCTGCTGAAAGAAAATTATACCTGATTGCAAGTATCTGTCATTAGTTTGCAGGGTGCGTGCTGTAGTCTTCACCGTATCTGATTTACATTGTGATTTAGGAAGGTTGAAGTGTTCAGTACAAGTAATCGTTTTCATGTTCGTTGCATGGCTCTTCTAAGAGCAGTATGCCTTGAGATAAGGTGAACTTTATGTGTGCCAGTCTGAGCCCTAAGTACAGTGTGACTGGCTAGCATCACTGCAAAACAGTGTCAAAAAAAGAAATGCTGCCGGATAAAGTGATGCTCGGCTGCTGCTCTCCAAGGTATTCTTAGATCTGTGAAGGGCTTCATTCTACTAATGAAGAACATTTAAATTTTAAGTTTTCTGAAAGGGTCTTCTTTCACTCGTTTTCTTTTTTTTCTTCTTCTTCCTCACCTGAATGCTAATTAAGCAGAAATGGGTTTAGTTTAATGGGAAAGCAATGAAATTGACAATGAAACTTCGAACCTTGCACCTGATTCCAGTGTAGTTCTACTGTCAGTGGTAGAGCTGAGGTGTTGAATTTGTCATGCCCTCTAAGGACAGCAGGTTGTCAGAGGCAGAGCACGATGCAGACGTGGTTCTTGTGCCTTTTGGTGCGCGCGTCATAACCCAAAGTGCATGCAAGGCATGAAGGTTGCAATGCAAGTTTTGACTTTAACTCTCTGAAGTCTAAAATAGATCACAAGAGGGCGGTCATTGAGACTATGCTAGAAAGAAGATCCTAACAGAGAAGATCACATTAGAAACGTCATAATAGGTAACTTTTTCTCCCCTCTTATCTGAAGGTGAATGACTGCACTGAGTGTTGAGGCTCTGACTTTGCCCTTGGCATACCATTACTCCCTGTGTAGAGTGACTTAACATCAGTTCAAGGTCAATCCCACAGGAACTGTAACAGGCTTTTGTTGCTTCTGCTGAATTAGTGTTAAATTACCCAGGTCCACAGGTGGAGGCACGAGGCAGTCAGTTTGCTATGGGATGTAATGACTATGGAAGAGGGACAGAGCTGTCATGAGTTAATGTATTAACTGCATACTGAACATGTGTCTCTGCTCTACTGCTGGCAGTAATGCAACCTTTACAATTACTGCCCTCTTGTTTTAATAACAGCTAAATGGTGTTTCTGATCATCAGGTGTTCCTGAGGAGGTGATATAGTGAAATCTCAATACCCTGACTAGGGGAGGGAGAAACTTTGAGAAGCGTTGCTGAAACAGATGTCTCCAAACTGGGTTGGGAATGGGGCTCTGCCAGCCCCATGGGTGCCTGCTGTGGCTCTGGCCAAAAAGGGATGGTGGCAGCTGCTTGAAGTATGGTGACCCTGACAGCAGGGTTCAAAAGTAGTCTGTGTGCTGCACGTAGTCTGCTTGTGTCAGTGAGCAGTTTCCCCTGGGTGCCATGTGTTCCAGTGCCTCAGAGAGGGCAGTTGTGCTCTTTAGTATTGCCTAAAAATTGTAATATAGCAACATCAGATGACATTTTTTCTTCTTTAAAGTCGTGCTCCAAGAAGTTACATAAGATATTTTTTGTCATTATGCAAATTCTGTCTGTTTCTGAGAGGAGGAGCTCTTTTTTTTCTTCTATAGGACACATTATAAGATAAAAAAAAATGCTTTTGACAATGCTAATTTCAGGCAGCATTAATGATTCTGATTGCATACGTTAGTGCTCTGTGCATTACTGACCTGAGTGTTTTGTACAAACTTCATTTTTGCCTAACATATTTTTCCAAGGTTTTCACTTGTGATACTGATAAGTTTGGTCAGTGTATTTTGAATACTGTTACTGGGGCTTAGTTTAGCACAGTATTTGAAGTGAAGTTCAAAAGTAAAGAGCCAGAGATTAAGATCTGCCTTATATGGAGTAAAGAGCTGTAAAATATTGCTTGACAATAAAACAGTACAGACAAAATACTGTATGTCAGATGCCCTCTAACTTCTAAAATTTGTTTGAATTCTTTTTCAACTGGTCTTCTATAGGAATAAAAGAAATTGAAATTAAAGAAGCCTTATAAATTCTTTATCACATTTTAGTATCCTTAAGTTTTAATGACAGTTTCTATAGTTTAACTTTTTTTTTTTTTTTTTTGTCATTGAGATATTACTTGAGATACTAGTATCCTGTTTGATACTTTCTTTTGACACAATCTCAAGGCATGATGGTTAGGGATTAGGATATGCTGATAAAGGTTTTAATTTCAGCTTAGTTTGCTGCGGGAACAGCACAGTACCACCAGCAGGATGTAATCCTAGTGCAAACCTGGCTACTTGCTGTCTGAAGTTAGTGCTGCTTTGTCTGGCTGCAGTAAGGCTGTAACCTGCCCTTTTATACAGTCGCAGTAGGTGAAAAAGAACTTCATGTAGTAGAATGGAATTTCCTACTGCAGCTTTCCAGTGCCCATAAAATAGGTGTGGTGCAAGTGTTACGAGATGACTTTGTGCCTGCTTTTATGGGATGCCAGTGTTGTTGGCTGAAAAAGGAGAGCAGTCAGTCTAGTGAAGTAATTCCTGATGCCTGTATAAGAAGGTAGAATTCTTGCCCTGTTTTGCTTATGCTCTGGTGCAGTGTTGCGTGCAACATCACCCTTCTGCTTCAGGCACTTCCATGGGAAATGCTGTGGCTGCAGCTCACACTCTCATAGAATAGAATAGTTAGGTTGGAAGGGACCTTCAAAGCTCACAGAGTCCAACTGCCTGACCACTTCAAGTCTAATGATGTTTGCACTTTTTATTCCTGCGTTTGTCCCTTTTTGTCCTTTTTTCTTCCCCCTCCCTCTCCCCTCCATTGCATTACTGTGCCCAAAACAGAGATCAAAATGCAGGCATCCTGCCAGAGGAAGGCTCTGTTCAATCAGATGGAGTCATGCTCTCCTTCCCTTGTTCTGTGAATCCTGTATTTCTGTCTCGTTAGCCTGATGATTAGGTCTTTCTCTTAGGATACGTGAGGTATGTGTCTAACCAACTCATCAGGATAGTAATAATGTAATTGTGACAAGTCCTGGCTATGTGCAGGTTGGAAAACAGGCACAAGATACGGCTTCCAGGTCTGGTAGCTGTGGAAGCACCCGCTTTGGTTTCTGAATCCAGGAGGTGGTTTAGGACTGAAATCTATCTTGCAAAGGTCATTAGTTTCTGAAGTCCATGAACGAAATGAAATTTCACATTTAGCCCGAGGCTGAACTTATGTTCATGGCTGTTGGGGGGACAGTCAGCTCCATTTGTTCGCTGCTGGTGCACTCTGGGTGCCTTGCTTAGGCCTGTCAGTTTTACTGCGAGAAAAGCTGAATGATAGAAGTGAAACATTCCTTTTTTTTCTCCATCACAGTATTTCCAATGCTTTTCCAGTTAATTTCAGCAGCTCCAAACTGTTGTACTAAGCATGGCTGGGTTAGGACATGGTTAGGTGCCTGTTTCCTATAAGTGCCCTGACAGAAGTTGGCTGGTTGTGTAGGTGTTTGTTTCACTGTCTTGGTTACTGTTGGTTGCTTTCACCATAAACCTGTAAGGTAGAAGAGTTTTGCTTCTTTGCTAGCAGAGGAGTAAATAGGGTGGCAAAGTCTACAAAAGCAGCTGCTTGACTGTTGCTGACATTAACTTTTACTATTTTGGGGAGTGTGTGGCTGACAGTAAATAAGAGTTATTGATAAGACAATGCCTCAGTTTCTGTGCATGTGCTGTTTGAGGCAGGTCCTCATCCCTCTCCTGTGTGCTTCCAGTGTGTTCAGTCCCCATTTGTTCCCTAGGTCCCTCTGCTGCCATGCCAGTCTGGCTGCCCACAGGCCCCTGTACAGGGCACTGCGTGATAGATAGGCAGTGGTGCCTTGATAGGCAGTGTACTGGCAGTCTCCTTGCCACCAAGTATTTAACAGTCAGACAGTT